GTGTGTGTGTGTGTGTGTGTGTGTGTGTGTGAGAGAGTGAGTGCGTGTGTGTGAGAGTGAGTGTGTGTGAGTGAGTGCGTGCATGCGTGAGTGAGTGAGTGTGTGTGTGTGTGTGGACATTTTTTGGTCCCCATGAGGAAAACAGCTTATAAATCATACAACTTTATAAGTGTTAAAGTGTTAGAACTTGTTTTTGCGTATGTATACAGTACTGTGTTTGTTTGCTGTTAAGATTTTTTTTTTTATGAAATCAATACTTTTTGTTGATAGGCTTTCATTCTATTGGCAGATTAGATTCATTCTATTTTTTACCAGATGGTGCCATTTTTTTTCAGGTTTGGCCTATAAAGCAAATACTCGCTTAATTCCTGTTTTCTGCTTCTGGATATTATAGAGCCAATTGGATAAATAATGCAGCTATAATTGTGTGGGTGTGTTGGTATGGATGTCAGAGTGTGGTTTGTATGTGTGTCATAAAAAAATAAAAAATGTGTGTGTGTGTTCTTGTAATATTTGAGAGCGAAAAACTCTACTGCAAATCACAAATCCAACCACTGTGTGCACCAGCAGAGTTTTGCTGGCATCTAATGGGGAAAATTTTGTACTGCGCCAAAACAAAATCTTACTGAAAGCTAATTTTGTGAGATATCAACCTCAAATTTTGAATACAACTTGTTTAGATGTATGGCTTTGATTTTCTAGCAGGTATAGAGTTCAACATGTTTCATAAAATATGTATTTTATATAAAACATCGTTCATAAATCATTTTCATAAACCTAAACATCTAGAAGTTTTTTTTTGGTTTCCCTTTTTAAACTTTTTTTACTTCAACACTCATCTGCCATGGGTCTTCTTTAAAATGAGACCAAACTTAACTCTGTGCTCCCTAGCTTCACATTTTTATGACAGTTTTTTTGACATGGACATTTTTGTCCACTATGGACCTATGTGTAACTTTTTTTAATTGACGCACAATGGTTAATGCAGCCCTGGTGAGAATAAGAGATTTATTTCAAAATCATAATTACTGATCACAAACTTTTGGGATTGTTTACACAACTGGAGTGTATTTAAATGGGATGCTGTGATCAACACTTTTCACCGTTAGTTAATCGCAGCAGCTTCAATTCAATTATTTGTGCAACACTAAAATATGGTGTTTTTTGTTTCATTGTTTTTTTGTTTACAAATATTAATATAACATATTAATTTCATATATTTAAGAATGAGTAGTTAATCCATTTTAATTGTGGCAGTCTATTGGTTCACATTTACATTTATCTTATACAGTTTAAGAGCACTTTATTTTTCCATAGCTGGTTTTTAATTTTATATTATCTAAATAAAAATTGAAATGTGTTATAGAGAATAAAATTTGATATGTAAGTTTCTTTTGAAGTTGTGTATTTATCAGTGTCTTAAAGTAGCAGAAAAAACAACCACCAAACTATCAGTATCAGCAGATGTTGTCTTAAATAATTGGATGTTGACTCACAAATGTTGTATTTTGTATGTCCATATTTAAAGGTGATAATAATAAGTGACTATATAATAATATATAATAATAATAATAATAATAATAATAAGTGCTGCACATGGATTCACACCACGTCAAGTCTGTTAAATTATCATTGACCCAGAAGCGCAGGTGCTCTGAACTAAGCGTCTAATTGGTGCTTCTCAATAAGGCAACACTTGATGCCATTCACATGATTGCTAGGGTGCAAAATGATTATGAATTCCTCTGTAGTCATAAAGCATCTGCATCATTCCTCAAAGTTAATTCAAGTTCCTCTGCACTAGGGAGATTTCCGCTGAGGTTTTCCTGGGCTCCTAAGTGCACAGATTTCTTTTGATTGCTCATACGAGCTGTTGTTTTGTGGACTTCCCTTTTTAGTGGCTGATTTTCTCCTCTGCCGTCATGAGGAATCTCTCCACAACTGGAATCAAATTTTTATTCTCAGATGTCTGTGAAATTGGATAGTTCTAAAAAACATGATTTATTTGCAAACTTTGCAAAGTCTCAGGAGCTGTGAGTCATACAAGCTTTTATTACTGCCGTTTGCTAAGGCAAACATCGCTGTTACATATCTGCGCTTTGGGATTTAAACGCAAAGTATACAAATATTAGCTTGTGATTTGAACATGAATGATACCTAAAGTCAGTGAAAGAAAGTGACAGTAGTTAGCTACAGAAAATCTGTAGCAGCGTTTGTTTTATGATGCAACTCGCTTTAGTGTCTTAATGTTTTGGAGCCACTGAATGTGCAACCTCCATTTGTTTCATTGTCACATTATCCCATCCATATCTATATGTGTTGTGCTCAGAGATCTGATTTCAGTCTGTACTGAAGGCTGATAATGAGAGAAGAAGAGTTGAGTGGATTGGAAAGAGAGCGAGCGAGAGATAAAAAGTGAACGGAGACAGATTGATCCACCCCGACCCTTCTGCATTCAGTTTCTTCACTCTAAATGATTTGGGCACTTTATCACAGAATGAGCAGATGAGACTTAAAGTGGTTCAGATCGCTCATGTTTGAGTGGAGTGAGTGATGACGGACAGTGATTTGTCTGTGTTCATCAGAGCATTAGATGTCTCTTATTTGATTCAGAGCAGATCTGCATCTTCATTGTCTATTTTGGAATGGAAAGCGTCAGCGGGATGCACAGGACATTTGTGATTATTAAGGCACTATTTTCTTGCACCAGCCAAAACTGTATGACTTACAGCATGTCTTGCAGCAGGTGTGCAGGTTTCTACTTTGTATGTTCACCGAAGTGCTGTGTGAAGAGACAAAATCACAGGCGATCAAAACATATTCTATGTTTAAAGGGGTCATATGATGCTGCTAAAAAGAACATTATTTTGTGTATTTGGTGTAATGAAATGTGTTTATGTGGTTTAAGGTTCAAAAAACACATTATTTTCCACATACTGTACATTATTGTTTCTCCTCTATGCCCCGCCTTTCTGAAACGCGTAGATTTTTACAAAGCTCATCGGTCTGAAAAGCGAGGTGTGCTGTGATTGGCCGAATACCTCAAGCGTGTGACGGAAATGTTACGCCCCTCACCATACTGTGATGCAGTGTCCGGCCGTAGCGATGATTCAAAAACATGACCTTTATGCACCAAGAGCTTGTAACACTCCAAAGAGAAAGGAAAATTATGAGGAGCAGGATTTTGCAAGAATTATATTTTACTGGAGGCTAGTTAGAACAAAAACCCAGCTGGTAAATGATTAACAGATGACATGATCACTTTTCTCTCACTTCACGCTGTACATGATTAGGATACTACGATAAGCTTTTAATTATTGTTGTCTGTTCTTTTTTTTTATTGGTTTTGTTGTGGTTTGCTTTTTGTTCATGTTTTACTGTTTTTGCTTTCTATTTGAGTTTTAGTTTAGCTTTTTGTTGCTTGTTTTTGTTTTGTTTTGCTTTTTGTTGCTTGTTTTGTGTTCTGCTTTTTGTTGCTTGTTTTGTTTTTGTTTAGCTTTTTGTTGCTTGTCATTGGTTTTGTTTTGTGGTTTGCTTTTTGATGTCAGTGTTTTATTGGTTTTTTTTTGATTCTTGTAATTTTTTTTTTTTTTTTTTTTTATGGTTTGCATTTGTTTTGGTTCGTGGATTGTTTTTTTTGTTTGTTTTTTTTGTAGTGCTTGTTTTGTTCTGGTTCTGGTTTGATTTTAGCAGTGAAATGCTCTTGAAGAATGGATTGCAACTGAATGATTTTGTTTCAGTATGTATCTTTTGAATGGACTCTCTCTCTGTCAATCGGCACATAATGACAGCCAGTGCTCAAAGGCGTCATTATTTTCTCCACAGCATAGAGTTTGTGGTTCATGTAATGGGCACACGCAAACACAGAAGCTCAGTTTGTTTGGCACTGTAAATCGGTCAGTTCACTGTAAATCACAGTTCACATCTCAAAACACTGTCATTCACTGTTTGTCTGAATCAAGTTTATTATATTCTAGATGTCCTTTGACTGATAGACACTTCAGTTGCATGAAGGGTCATGCGCAGTGTTTCCTGCTTAAATGGATGGAGTGTATAAAGGGATTGTGTGTGTGTGTGTGTGTGTCTCTCGTTGTGAGATCAGCACCTCAGATCACTCTCTGCGCTGTCTTACATCGATCGCTCAGATGCTGCTGTGTTAGACGCACTGTGTTTAGAGTATATGGCATTGATCGATGAAGAAACATGAAACACGCGCACTCATACAATGTGAGATGTGTGCCTCTGTCCTGCGCGATATTTATTGCGTCCTCAATCCATAAAGTGGAGACCTTTTATATGTTTGTTGATGAAAGTAGATGTGGTTCAGTGATGACCATCAATGCTGCTGTTTTTTTTATGGTGCCCTGCAATACATTGAATTGAACCTTGTTTTTGTTTTGTTTTATTTCAGAAAAAAAAATACATTTACCAGGTGGTGCACTATTGCCAAACACTATTGATCTGGGCTTGTGCATTTAGGTTTTTTGTTTTGGTGTTGTGTATATTGTATTTTTGTCTTGTTTTTCAACTAATGGGTCTGTATGTATGTTTGTGTAGGGAAATGACGTAATGGAAGAGCAAGACCTGAGAGAAATTGGCATCACGGATCCGGCACATCGCAGGAAGATCCTCAGTGCTGCACGTTCTTTACCAAAGGTCTGTGTCAGTCTAAAATGCTTTGCCGATGATTGTCTCATGCTAATAATCACGTTATGCCATTAACAGTATTATTTTGTAAGCTTTTCATCATTATAATAATACCGTTGTTTGTCAGCCGGTAGTTTATCTGTACTGGGTCTGAAGTAAGTTCTCTGTTGGTTTTGAACTCTGCAGGTGAAAGCATTAGGCTGTGACGGCAGCACGTCCCTCGCTGCATGGCTGGACATCCTGGGTCTTCAGGAATACCTGCAGAACTTCCTGTCCAGCGGCTATCGCACGCTAGAATGCGTGAAGAACCTGTGGGAGCTGGAGGTTGTCAATGTGAGACCGTTCAAACATTTACTGTAATCTGTATAGACTTTTGTTGTTGTTTATAAGTATTATATGAAGTATTTACATAGTTGGCTTTCCTTTTATTTTTAAAAATTCAGTTACTTGGTTCTGAATTATTCAGTGGGGAACAGGGTATTTATGTTGCATAATAGAAATTAAGAGTGTAATTTTTGCCTTTGTGTGTGTTTTATGTCTGTAGGTGCTGAAGATCACATTGTTGGGCCACAGGAAGAGGATTATTGCATCGTTAGCTGAACGGCCGTATGAGGAGCCTCCGGTCAAACCACCCCGCCTCTCTCAGATCAGAGTAAGTAATGCTGTATACAGGAATATTAACACATTGTAGAATAGTCTTTAGGCAAAGTGAACTTAAAGTAGACCATACGAGTAGGTGTAAACAAAAACTAGACTCTGAGGGACAGAATTACAGTTTGTTCAGTTTGCCATGTTTTAGGTCAGGCAGTTAATTTTACAGCTTTTTGTTGCAAGTTTGGTCTCTTTATGAAAATATTATAAATATTTTGGCTTGACATATTGATTCATTTTAGTCTATTTTGCTGCAATGGCATATGTAATTTTAGTTGACTATAATTTGCAAAATGAAAAAAAAAAGTCATAACTATAATTAGGGTTGGGAACCGATAACTGGTTCTTATTCAGAACCGGTTCTGTTTTTTTAAAAGAACCGGAACCGTGAGCAATTTCTAAGTTTCGGTTCCGAAAACGGTTCTGGTGCGACACGTGACCAAGCGCTGTGAGCAGCCTTGCGCCGGCGTTTCCCGTAAAGGATGTCACAAACCTGCCGAACACATCGTTTTCCACGACTGTACGCGCACTCGCTTCTTTGATAAATGTGCACGTTGTTTTGTCTGACTGTACATGTACCGGCAGCACGCAGCTCCTGCCGCCACTAAATGACATTATATTTGTTCCATATTGTCATTAATATACATACTGACTTCAACTTGGACCACTAAATAAATAGACTGCTATTGTTATGTAAGTATGAGGGTTAGATTATTTAGTGTACAGGTCATTTCAAGAGTGATAAACAAAGTGATAGAAAATATTTTCTTGCATTTTAAAAGTTTAAAAATGTGGAAACCACTCATTGCATCACACCATCTCCTGACTGCATTATAATTTGTAAAATAGGGGCAGTGTGTGTATACATGGTTATAAGTATAATATTTCATTAATTTAGGGAAATGAACAAGTGTCTTTGCCCTCAAGGGACTATTTGGCCAACCAGCTTATTCCTGCTTGAAAAGCAAAATGTTATTGATAGTGTAAAAAACATCAACTTTGAAGCACATGCATTACTCAACATTACTTACTACCTTCCAGCAACACTACATTCAATTAAGGTAAAATAGTAAAAAATAATAATAGTTCATTTAAATGGAACCGGAATCGTTAGGCAAAACTGGAACCGGAATCGGAACCGGAAAATTTCTAACGATACCCAACCCTAACTATAATAGACCAAATATTTGATCTGTAAATGTGTATTAATTTAAATATGTTTAACAAATTCAGAAGTTATTTTATTCATTATTTTGCAGTGTTCTTTGTTATTTTCATATTTTTTATATAGTCTTTCTTATCAATGACAAAAAAAAATGTAAAGGAAAAAATAAAATACATTTGTCAGTAATTTCATTTAATAGATTAGCGAGTAGGTCACGTCTTATTTTCGCAAACCATGCCTTCCAGAGTTTCAGTCCACTAGAAATGTGCAAGATGTATTTTCTGTTTCTTCTGCTGAATCATCCAGGTCGAAAACAGTGTTACTTATTGAACAGACTGCATTTCTGTCTTTCACAGAAGGATACTGGATGAATCTCACAATGAAATTGCTCAAATCTCATTCCAAAATAATAATAATAATAATAAAACAATAAAATACATTATATTTTGTATGAAGAAACTACATTTTAAGCTGAATTCTCCTCATTTCCCCTTGAGTTTTCAAAAAAGCTGACTCTGTTGCTAAAGAAGCCCTTTCCACAGATATTCATACCACCCTCACATCTTAAAACTACCATAGAGTCTTACATCATCAACAAATGGCAAAATGAACGGGATTGGTGTACAAACAACAGACCGTATGAAATTGACCCTACTGTGGGGAAAAGTTGCATATTTTCAATAATCGCTAAGGTGAGATACATTCACCGCTATGCTGTTCATGCCAGAGTCCAGGATCTCGCTAAACTAAACTAACTAATATTTTATTAAATTATGCTGGTTTAAGTTATCTTAGGGAATTATATGACTCCGCAAATGCTTTCAAAGAAGTTTTTATCTCTCAAAATTTCCCATCACTTCCCCTTATCTCTCGTACCATAATGTGAAATAAAATTCTATTCAATTCTCTTTGTCCACTAGAGATTTAGAGGAAGTTGTGTTTTCCTCCATTGAAACACCCAGGTCGAAAACAGTTTGCCTTATCGAACAGACTGCGCTTCTGTCCCTCACGGCCTCATTTTTATTCACAACAAATGAAATCTGGCATCAACCCTGATTATAGTCTATAAGAAAGTGCAGTTTACTGTGAACTCTCTCCTGGGCTCATTTCTGGGCAAGGACATCTTTCTGGCTGGCTGATCTCCCTCATTGAGCGCTTCTTTTGCAGTGTCAGGATCTCATGTCCCAGACCTCGTCTCCTCTCAGTCACTCAGACTCCTACACGCGCTCCATGGATCCCCTGTTACCTGCTGGTGATTCTGGGAGGAGGAGAGGTCCCGACTCAGAATATGACGTGGCCATTCGACAGCGGCCCAATGACAGACCACAACCACAAGTGAGTCACGATTCCTTCTGTTTCTGCTCAAATGATGCACATTTCGGTCAGTTTATCCTGAAATTGTTCTTCCTCTCTAAAGGAGAGATTTGAGGAACGTCAGCGGGAGCCTCGCTTGACCTTACGACCCCCGAGTCTGGCGGCACCGTACACACCGGTCCAGAACTGGCACCATCAGCCCGAGAAGCTCATCTTCGATTCATGCGGTTACGAGGCCAACGTAATAATATTTATATCATACAACAGCCTCTTTATATAATAATAGAGTCATAATTGATATTGAGATGACGGGTTATGAAATCATCCAAACCCTTGATTGTGTTTAGATAATGTGATTTAACTGTTTGCTTTTGCCAGCTGAGACCAACTGAAATCTGTCTCTCTCTCTCTGTCTTTATCGGTTTGTCCCGACTCGCTCGTTCTGCAGTATCTGGGCTCGATGCTCATTAAAGAACTAAGAGGAACGGAGTCAACGCAGGACGCCTGTGCTAAAATGAGGGTAGGTGTTCACAGAGTCTTCGGCCAGTGAGAGCTCAAGGTCTCCTGTGAGGGGTCACGCCAGGACGCTGAGATTATTATTATATTCTGGAACGGGCAGCAAGCAGCACTGTCAGGGAAAATGCCACCCATGCGTGTCCTCTACGGGGCACTAGTGCAAAAAAGGACAGTTTCATAATATTTGGCTAACAAGGTCCGTCCAGAAAGTGGAAAATGGGCTTCATTGCACTGTCCTGTGTGTGAGAGACAGCCTGCAGATTTGCACTTTAAAGGCTGTTCTGATAAATAATCAAGCAGATCTGTTTGCTCAGCCGGTCAGTGCAGAGAAGTAGTCAAATTGAGCCGTCTGTTCAGTCGCACTTAATGAAAAGACAGAAACAAAAACAGTCAGAGCCGACAAATGTTTTTAAGAAATCTGTCCCTTAAATATTAGCATTGGCCATTGGTAATAATAATAAAACAACATTTTAAGGACCAATAAGGCTTTTTAGCATTATCACATTTATTTTCATAAAAAATTAAGTACATTTCCTCTCAGGTCCTCATTACCGTAATATAAAATACTAATTAATTATTTGTTTAAATTGATATTTAATTATAAATGGGGAATAATAATAACAATAATAAACTACTAAAAATGGATTCAATTTAGTAGTACAACAAATACTGTCATGGTGCATGGTATCTAATACTATATTTAAATATTATGTTTTTTGGGGGAATCGAAACATAAAACATTGATTGCAATCAAATCAAATTACATAAATAATATCACAATATAATAAATAAAATAAATACAAAAATAAATAAATTCATATACAGTCTGCAACATAACAAACTCAGGATAAGTAGAGTAGCACCTAGATCATCAGAGGTTTGAAAAACCAAATTATACCCCAAAATTAAATTCTACCATCTTGAAGCATTTCTGTCAATCCATCTGCAACCGCTTTCCATGCCTCAAGGGTTGTGGCTCTAGCTTGGTTTATTCTGGCTGTTGAGAGTTCTAACATTACTATATCATGAAACTGAAGTAGCCATTGTCGCACAGATAAAGTATGGGGAGGGAGCCATCTTTGTGCAATTATCTTTTTGGCAGATGTTAGTCCTGCCAGCCAGATCTTTCTTTGTAGCTCTGTGAAACCTAACCTGGAATCATCATTTAGAAGAAGCACAACTGGTTGCACTGGTATATCTTTTCCTATCATATCAGACAGTATTGATGATATTTTTTCCCAAAACTCAAACCTTTTCACATTCCCACACCATATGCATGAATGTTCCCACTTGTTGGTAGGGACAAAAGCTACAATGAAGACTAGGAGATGATTTAATAAGGAAACGTTTCTTTGGTGTCTAGTACATTCTGTGACAAAATTTGAAATGAATTAATTGGTGGTTTGAATTTTTTTGATGCACAGAATATATTTTTCCATGCCATCTCCCAATCAATCTGGTCCACAGATAGCTCCCTTACCCAGATCATGTACAGTGGTAATTGCTTTTGCTTAACTTCAAAAAGGCAAGGATAGACAGCGGACACTACATTTTGTTGAGAAGGATTAGAGAGCCAACTGTGAACTGGATGTGCTTCTAGAGCTGACCCCCAAGGGACTCCATATGCTCTGAGGGCTGAACGTAATTGCAAGAACAAAAAAAAAAGGATGATGCAGGTACATTAAAAGATGCAACTATATTTTGAAAGCTAAGCATGCCATTATCATCCCATATGTCAGCAAGAGTCCTTATTCCCTGCTTTGACCACTGTTCAGATCTGAATGGTTCTGAACCACATTTAATGGTCCTATTACGCCATAAGGGAGTCTGTAGGTGCCATTTGTTCTTGTAACTTAATAAATTCTCCACTGCTCTGAAAGTGTTAATGGTGTTTGTTACAATGGGGCCGAATTATTGTTTACAGTACTTTAAAGAGTGTCCAGAGAAAAGTACATCTTCAAGTCTAATTGGTCTGACAATTGCTGCTTCTATTTCTCTACAAGGTGTGGAAGTTGTGGAGTCAAACCATGTCTTGGCTGCACGCAGTTGGAATGCTTTATGATATAGCTCAAAATTGGGAAGGGAGAGACCTCCCTGCACACTGCAGTGTAGCCAATTTTAACTTTGGTTGTTTGCCATTCCAGAGAAAAGTGCGATTTAAAGAGTCAAGTCTTTTCCACCATTTTAAAAGAGGTGGCAAAGGAATCATGGCACTAAGGGTGCTTTCACACTAGCAATTTTGGTGCGCACCCGGGTTCAATTGACGTCAGAGTTCGGTTCGTTTGGATGATGTGAACGCTGTCTTCCGAACTCGGGTGCGCACCCGTGAACCGTACCCGAGTCCGCTTAAAAAGGGTGGTCTGGGGTATGGTTTATGTGAACTCCGGTACGGTTCGCTGCTGATGTGAACGCAATCGTACCAAATCGCGGAAGTGAACCGCTATTAATGACGTATTATTTGATAAAAATGTATGTTTGTGTGTTTCACTCAATTTCCTGACGAGCGTGACTGACGCGCTGCAAACAGAGAGCTGAATATCTCATTTCTGTTCGCCTTCAGTGTTCTTTAGAGTATCTGCAGTACATTCGTAAGACAGACGTAAGTGCCGTTATGTACCAAAGCTTTGTAAACAAAAAGAACGGTTAAAAAACGTAAATGTATAAAAGTGCAGAGCAATGTTATGCATTTGCCGCCTTCTCCTGCGCCGTCGTTGCTAAGCAACGGGGTAAACAGCTGCTGGCTTGATGACGCAAACGAACCACGGTTCGGACCCAAATAAAATAATATGAACGCAGTCCAGCGGGGGCAGGGGGAGGAGGGAGCAATCGAACTCGGGTTCGAACCAGGCAAGCGAACCAAGTATGAAAGCACCCTAAGAAAATTAACCCTAGGTAATATATTAATCTTTACAGTCGAGACTATGGATTGCGATGATGCAGCAAGTGTCCTCCATCTGTCAATATCTCTTTTAAGCTTTTGAAAGACTTTATCATAATTTATATGTACAATTTCTTTTAGAGAAGGCCGTATAAAAATCCCTAGCCAAGTTATCTGATTCGTGATTGGGATAGTTGTTGTTATCACGATATTCTGAGCTTTTTTATTTAATGGTAGAAGAGATGATTTGGACCAATTGATCCTATATCCAGAAAATTTCCCAAAACAATTAAATGTTTCAAGTATGTTTGGAATTTTACCAAAATCTGAAAAATACAGTAAAATGTCATCTGCATAGAGATATATTGCATGTTGGGTATCCTTAATTGAAATGGAACAAATTGATCTTGTCTTATTTTTTGAGCTAGAGGTTCGAAGGACAATGCAAATAACATTGGTGAGAGGGAGCATCCTTGCCTCATTCCTCTCAAGATATCAAATGGTTGGGAGTGTAAGCCGTTTGTTGCTATAATTGCTGATGGATTATCATAAATTATTCGTATCATATTAATACATTTTTCGTCAAACCCAAATTTACCTAGCACCCTCCATAAATAATCCCAATTTAATCTATCAAAAGCTTTATTCGCGTCTAAGGATACAACTGCTCAAGGGGAATTTTTATCTTTACTTTCATTAATTACATGTAGCAACCGACGTATATTGTCTGCAGCCAAACGATGTGGAATAAAGCCAGATTGATCACTATGAACTGATTTACAGATACATTTTCCAAGACGTAAAGCTAAGACCTTAGCATATATTTTTTAATCTATAATCTATAATATAATGGCGCTTTTCCACTGCGTGGTACGACTCTGCTCGGCACTGCTCAGTACGGCAACGCCAATAACTTGCTGGGTCTTTGCCCATTATAATAATAATTCTGCCGAACTCTATGCATAATGAATTCAGCCTTTCTTCGAAGCAGATCGTTTAACCTAGACCTGGAACTCTTTAACGCACTTTCAACAGATCTTGATAATTTCTTCTTCAGCTCTGACACTTGGGAAAGGCAACTTTGTTCTAATTCCTCAATTTGTGCTTTTCTTTGTTTAAATGAGATGAAAAAGTGATAACAAAATCTCTAATAAAGCCTTTTGTAGCCATCCATACCATCATGTGGTTATCCACGCTATTAAGGTTTATGTTCAAAAAGTCTTTCAACTTATTTCTTAAATCTATTAAAAACCCAGAATCTAGTAGAAGAGTTGTATTAAATTGCCATCTTGGAGATCTATCATGTGAGCAGTAAAGAAACGTTGTCAGCAGTGGGTTGTGGTCAGATATTACAGCAGGAAGGATTGCAATGCTCTCAAAACACATCCTGAATTCACGAGAACATAGAATATAATCTATTCTAGAATGTGTCTGATGTCTCGAAGAAAAGAAAGTGTAATCTCTAGCCAATGGATTCTGAACACGCCATACATCTACGAGATTAAAGGTTTGCATAAAAGACTTAAAATTTGCTGATGTTATCTCTTGTGATTTAGTAAATATAGTAGTGGATTTATCAAGCATCAAATCTCCAAGTGTATTCATGTCTCCTTCAATAATGAGTGCATGCTCATTTAAGAGCAGCAACTTGCGTGTTAACCACTGAAAAAAGTTTACATCAAAAACTGCTGGGGCATAGACGGAGACAAAAGCTATTTTCTTACCTTGAATATTTGTACAGAAATAGCTCAATCTACCAGATTTGTCATTACTACATTTTTCAATAACAAGAGGAAGGTTTCGTTTAATGAGTATAAGAGATCCCTTTGTTTTTGTGCCATCACTGGACGCAGCAATGACTTTATAAAATTTGTTTTGTATACGAGCAACGTCGGTTGTTTTTAAATGAGATTCTTGGACTAAAGCCACATCTACGCAGCCTCTGCGTAAACTATCCAAAAACTTAGTTCTCTTTATTGGACTATTTAAACCTCTGATGTTGACAGATATAACTGAAATCGTAACCATTATCAAAGAGACTGTAAACTTGAACTATATTAAAGGTCAAATAATAATTTGTTTTAAACAGAAGTTCTTTGATTGCACATTTCGTTACTAACATAAAAGAGAAAATACATGGCAGGACGAAACTCCCCCCTCCCCCCTCTCCCAGACCGCTGACTATTCCCCCACTTATGTGTCGGAACCGTGACGGCATCATACGTTCCACTGATGTGAGACTGATGGGTAAATCAGAAAAGACTGGATTCCTGCTGCCCGCAACTCCTTCCGTGTATCAGCAAAGCTTCTCCGTTTTTGCAAAGCATAAGCACTGTAGTCAGCAAAGAATTTCAGCCGATTCTCGCCATCCAGAATTAGTCCCCTCTTGCTCACCTCTCTAGCCCTGTCTAAGATAGCCTGACGGTCTTGATATCTCAGCACTTTAAAAATCATAGTGCGACCCGTCTCCGTGGACCTCTGCTGTCCATAGATGCGGTGGGCCCGTTCGATCTCTATCGGCCTGTTTGAGAGCGAAGGGATCCACTTTGGAAGCATTTCTTGGAGAAAGCGTATCGCGTCACCTCCCTCACGGTTCGGTGCAAGACCAACAATCCGAACGTTATTGCGTCTTTCTCGATCTTCCAATTCTGCCAGCTTTACTTGAAACTTAGATACATTAAAATATTATGTACATTTGTACATACATTTAAATATTATGTTTACTATTTATTTGATTATCTTGATATATTTTTCATATTTATTTATTTGTTTGTTTGTTTTTAACAGCAGTCGTTCTCAAGCTTTTAGATTCAGCGCTGTCCACTGTCCCACATAATATTTGAAGATGTCGATATATATTGATAAAAAGATATTTTAGTTTTTTCCCCCTGCAACTGTGATGAAGCTGCTTGTTTCAGACTTTTTTATTAACAGAAACTGGAAGTGTTGATAAATTAAGTTAATTAACGAATTGTTCGTTTTGTAATACCAGAAGTTTTGAAGCTGCATGAAAACTGAATGTTATTCATTTTTTAAACATTTTTAATTTAGTTACAGTAAACAATTTAATATATTAATAATGATGTATTAATTTAAATACTTTTAAGCCATCATGTGCCTCCTTTGGATGTTTGCTGAGGCCCCCTTAATGGGCCCCTGTTTTACAGTAATGAAAATGTTGGGACAGAATATGTTATGGTGTTTGCCATACAATCAATCGATCAATGCATATTTATTGAAATATTCTGGGTATTATATTAATCCCACATGTTGTGAAACACATTGACAAACGTCCTATAATTCTCTCTCTCTCTCTCTTGCTCTCTCTCAGAGGTCGACAGAACAGATGAGGAAGATCCCCACCATCGTCCTCTCCATCACGTACAAGGGTGTGAAATTCATTGATGCTGCCAACAAGGTGATGACATCATCCTCCTCTGTCGTTCCCCCCGAGCAGGCAGATAAAGAGCCGGTCATTAAACTGAAGCCTCTGGCTCACGGGCGTCTCTGAGTGCTCAACACGTCACATGACTGATAAACAGGCACACTGAGGAACTCCGATTTATTGAGTGACTCTTGGCTAATCTTGAGCTCTTTGTCGTCTTCTCATTGCTAAAGGTCACGGGTGTCTGATAGAGGCTCCTAATTTTTATTTGTTTTTATTAAAGTTTTATTCATTTTTGAGTCAGTAGACATTTCATTGACATTAATTGATAATTGTTATTCTAAAAACAACATTATAAAATATTTTGAGGTAGTTTTAGGAAACTGATTTCAGCAATGAGATTATCTGTCTGTTTATCATCCACCCACCCATCTCTCCACCCAGTCCATCCCATCCATCCACCCATCCATCTCTCCACCCAATCCATCCCACCCATCCATCTCTCCACCCAGTCCATCTCTTCCATCCATCTCTCCACCCAGTCCATCCCACCCATCCACCTCTCCACCCAGTCCATCCCACCCATCCATCTCTCCACCCAGTCCATCTCTTCCATCCATCTCTCCACCCAGTCCATCCCACCCATCCACCCAGTCCATCCCACCCATCCATCTCTCCACCCAGTCCATCCCACCCATCCACCCAGTCCATCCCACCCATCCATCTCTCCACCCAATCCATTAGGGGTGGTGGAAAAATCGATACAGCATAGTATTGCGATATTTTATCAATACACAGACGCCAAGTATCGATCTTTTATTATACTATTTGGTAGAATAACAAAATCAATTTCTTTACAGTCCACTAGATGGTGGTGTTGAGTTTTTTTCT